GCTTATGCGATCCATCTCCCTGGCCTGAATAAACTATACTGATGTATAACAGCATTTGCAGGAGGAGTCACACAAATTAACTTGTTGGTACAGAAACAGGCATGTTGCTCAGCTGGAATAAGCCGTGCACTGAAAGCTCCTGGGGATAGGCAGAGAGCAGGATCAAATGAGCCCATCACCCTGCCAGCAGCCAGAGACACGGAGAGAGGAGAAAAGTAGCAAACACTCCCCTAAAGCTTTCCACTGCGTTTGTCCACGGCCTGGGCACAGAGCCACATCCCTGCTCCCAACAACCCGAGGGACAATTGTCCCCAAACCCGTGCCAAGGCCTGGTCATTCCCACACCCTGCATCACACCACCCCCAGCTCCCCAGAAAGGTATTTCCTGTGTTTATTCACCCGTAAGGTGGGATAACGATACTTCTGGCAGGGCATCCCGAGGCACAGCTAGTTCATGTTTATAAAGCACCTGTGGACTCTTCCTGCAAGTGCCAAAGTCTTGATGCCAAACAAATCCAACCTCATTCTTGTCCAGCCACATGAGGAATTTCCCAACCCTTGCCTTTCCTGAGGTTACTCTCCCTGTCACAAAGACCTTAATAAATACATTTTCTTACTGATTTGGTGGGTGGTTTTATTTCTTTTAACAGCACTATTGCATTTTTACTCATCATTCAGAGTACATCATATGGATGGTAATCTGTCCATCCCTTAATTTCTTGTCTTTGTTTGGGGAGGGGAAGAAAGAAAGAAAATTGACAGGGGGGAAGAATGACGCTCTGCCGACTTCATGAGACACAACAGATACTTCACTCATCTCGGGGGTCAAATGTCCGTGATGGTTTGATCAGATGTCAAGTTGCATTTATAGTCTGGCCCCTGTTGGGGGTTGAATTACATTTCACATTTGACTCACTTCTGGGGTCAAATGTCCCTCCTATTTGATGGAACAAGAGGAATTATCTTCCCCAAGCAGGCTGTGCTGGTGTGAGTCTGGGTCTGTCAGCGCTCTCATTATGTTTTAGGCTCCTATATTTCTGCATTTTGTTCTCAGTTGAAACCAACCCCTTTTGGGATGACAACAAGAAATGCAGCCGATAGCACATAAGCAATTCTATCAAGTAAGATGAGGGGAAGGAGCAGATCAGCTGGCTTTCAGTTCTTTTGGATGGTGTTTTGTTTGGGTTTTTTGAGAGATTTTTGGTGGTGTTTTTGTTTTTTTTTTTTTTTTTTCCCCTTCTCCCTCCGAGGTTAGCAGCTCTGCAGGGTAGGGAGTGATGAAGGAGAGGCAAGTAGACCCTGGTCCCAGCTTTACCACACTCTTGACATAAGACACTGCAGAAGCTCCTTAGGATCCAAAATGGTACAAGGGGCTGAGATAAGGCTGATGTCAGGGTGCTGCAGGATTGCGATGATGCCCAAGGACTGCCCAGCACAGGAGCTGCCCTAACCGCACTGTCTCTCTGGCTCCAGTTGTAAAATGAGAATAATTTTATCTGTGTGATGGGAAAAGATGACTCAAGATCTTAAGCAGTTGCTGGATCTCTGGGCAGCAAGTGTAAAAGGTACAAAGCATTGTACTGACAGGCAGGAGCCATTTAACTCCCCCTGGGTTTAAACCAGGGCAGGGGGAGACACGATAAACTGAATTCTGCTTTCCACCTAACTTCTTCTAGGTACTTTGAAAGAAAAATCACAAGGCACTACAGAATTTTCTAAAACAAAGACTACTGAACTACTTCCAGCTGTGGACCCCTAAAAATTTTCCAGCTGAAATGAGGCCACAAACAGAGATGAATTTCTTGCTCTCCCAGCCCTTCGCACCCGCCTCGAAGCATGGACGGGCTGGAAGCCCTCGTGCAGGTCTGGGGGATTTCATTGTGACAGTCACTCCAGACCTTCACAAGCGTGCTGGTACCAGGGGAGCTGACTGCGTGGCAGAAAACTAGGGTAAATAAGCAAGCGTGCCCTAAAACAGGTGATGTGAAGCTAAGATTTCTCATCATTAATGCTGGATGCCCCAGCCCCTGCGCCTGAGCTGAGCTCAACATGAAGCTGTGTCGGCTGCCGAGAGCTGCCGATGCCTAAGGGTGCCCAGTGCAACCAGTTTAAGACAAAAATGGGGAAAAAAACCCCAACCCACCAGGCTTATCTATTACAGCGTGATGGCTTCAGTAATTAGTGTGTATGATTTGTCTTTGTCCCCAAGGATCCCAAGGGCTGAGCGATATCCCGTGTGCTGCGCAGGCGTCTCTGGGCCAGTGGTTTAGCAGCCTTTCAAGTGAGATTGTGAAACCACACTCCTGCTGTTTAATGTACTCGTTCAGGTTACAACAGGTTTAGCAAACAATAAAAAAACATCTGGAGCCCCCATTTAAATAAAAGAGTTGTGTTATTAGTAATAAAGTCATGACTGGTGCCATAAAGTGCTCTCTGGTAAGCAAGTGCTGATGTGCAGGTAAATAAAGGGAGATGATGAACTAATGAGGGTAAGGGAGGAAGGCTGCTCCCTGTCCTCCTCAGCCAAAGCTCATGCTGGGTGTGAATCACCACTAATATCCTTGCAGGGCATGAACTGGGATCCTCACCCTCCCTCCCTGCTCTCCTCTTGGTACCCCGGGCGAGGTAAGGGGGGGGTCACTGCAGCATCCCACCCCAGCAGAGCCCTGGGTGCCACTGCCCACCCTTGCACCCACTGCTCCCGCTCCCAGCTCCTCTCGGACTGCCCCAAGCATAGCAGGACAAGGAGGGGGACTGGAGAAGCAAGATGAGACAAACTTGCCTATCTATTTTCCACAGCAATCCCCACTCCCCACAGAGCTCTTGCTCCAGGATATAAAGCAGCAGCACGGTCCCTGAGCACAAACCTATCCCTGTAACTGCAGATACCTGCTCCTGCCCACCTTTTGCCAAGAGAAAGAAACTTCCTCTCTTTTCATCCTCAACTGCTATTTCAAATTAGGAAATAAACGTCACCAAGTAAGTAGAGAACAAATGAAGAGTAAACTTCTATTTTCCCAGGTTACAGGGATCTAAGCTGGTTTGGTTTATCCTTCTCCCAGCTTCAAACAGTACACAAATCCTCCACCGCATGATAACCTCTATTTTTATTTGAAAGTCAGCCCTCCTCCTCAATTGTGGCGCAGCAAACTATTTCCCCCCCCCCCCCTGCAGCGTCACTTCTGATTTCCCTTCAGCTGCCCACCCGTGGGGGAAGCGCGATGCAACAGGGGCTGCGAGGTGATTTCTGTCAATGTAGAGGAGAAAACACAAACGGTTCACGTTGGCCGTGGTTCAGCCCCAGCGCAGTCCCATCCTGCAGTCGCAGCACAGCCAGGGAATGCGGCTGGCCACGGAGCTGCCAGCCCATCCCAATGGGGCTGTCAAATAGTTGTCCCTTGGGAGTTTTTAAAGGCAGAGTAGCTAAGACAACTGCCCCCATTAGCATCCACCACTTGCCCATAGGCTCTGCACAGCCCTGGGGAGCACGGATGGGGACGGTGCTGACCCCCCGCTGAGGCACCTGGGGGTCACCCTCTTCCTTTCTGCGTTTACTCAACCCCTGGCAGTTCCTGGCTCTAACGAACAACCACACGCTGATGTTGATCAACTACATATTTGTTTCTGCTGAATCACTTGATAGCACCAAGTTTGTGGTTCCTTCCCCAGCCTCTGGAAATCCTTCTCACACAAGAACAGGCCTTTTCCCATGCCTCGGTGGTGGCGGCTTTGAGTGATATCTTTGAAAGCCAGAGCAGGAACAACTATCCTGAGCAATGAGGCAACGCACTGCCGCACTCTAAGGTGGCAAACATCAGGTTTTCATCCTGTTTTCAGTTTAATATGCATATATTTTAACAGCCACTGGTATCTGAGTTGTATATACCATGGAAGACTCACTAGCTTTGTAATTCATAGCGATGCCATGGTATGTACCAAATCCCAGAAGCAGGAGCACACTGTAACCTCACTCCAGCCCACACACACCAGGTCCAGGGCAAGAAGAAGACAGCAGCATCTTGGGCTGGATGGAAGCCATCACACACCTGCTTTTCAAATTTTGCAACACATCACCTTCACATGACATAACCCTGCAGAGCCCATGACGCACACAGCTGTCGTCAACAGGGCCCCGTCGCACAACAAAATGGCCCGACACAGTCCCAAAATGGGATGCTGAAAAATATTATCAATGAGCTTGCACTTCCCCTCACAAGGCAGCTGGATGTGATGGGATGCTTCATCCTGAGGGTGCAGCATCAGGCACCTCAAAGATGCACCAAGTCTCCAGCACGCTCTAGTCATGCTGGGCCACCGCAGGGGCACACAGGTGGGACCATCTCTCACCTCCTGGTCGGGAGGACAGGTAAGAATGTGCTGAAGTCCTCACCTCCTAGCAGGACCTAAGCGTATGCTTAACTTTATATATATATTTAGGGCTGCACTGAATGGACGTGTCTGTTCCATGTGTAGCCAAGCCCAGAGAGCGCCCTGAAGGCTCAGGCACCTGCAAGATGTGAGCACTTCTATTCTGGTCCTCCCCGTGTGGGCTTATAGCTCCAAAACAGGAAACCTTTGATTCCTTTTTCTCCCCGAGTCGTCTAACTGTTAATCTATTTAGCTACAGGAAATACTCTACGTGAGGGAAGGAGGCACCTGAACTACACACAATACTTGGAAACCTCACTGCGTCCAGAAACACCAACTGTGTCTTCATTTTGAGTGAAGGATGCTGAGGCAAAGCTTTTTGGCCTTGTCGGAGAGCCGTGGCTAAGCTGGGCTCCAGTGACAGGCAGCAGTGTTGGCACGCAAGCACATCCCTCTCCCTGTACCAAGGGCATCTGCTGCTGCTCCTGGGCAGCAGCCGGGTTGACACCTCTGACCTCTGTGGAACCTCCTGATGCAGATTCACAGAGAGCTCCTGGGATCTATGCCTGGACATTGCCTAAATCCCCTAGAAAATCTCACCATACTGCCTGGCCAAGTAAATGGACACTTACCTGATTTGTGGATAGAAACTCCTGGGCGTTGTCATTCATTCCCATGTACATGTTCTCCCCATCAAACTAGAAAGACAAAAGAAAGTTAGAGTTAGTGAAATGCCATCTTCACACCAGGGTCATGTGCATCCTAAATACTTTTCTGGCTATTCATATAAAGAGCAAAAATTCCCAGAAGAAAATCCTGTGCTTCTCCTTTAAAACTTTTGAGCATGTATGAGCACACCTACATCATGGTTACTGCAATGAGACATAGTAACATAGCACGTTTATGTTACCTTTTCAGTTAAATAGTGATTGAATCACTCCAATTCAAACAAATAAGCCAAACCTGTGCAAAGCCACAGATGTACCCAGCAGCAAAGATCAGCCAAATGAAGTTCTTACTAAAATTCCTACCAGACCATCAATCAGCTTTAAAAAGACGACTTCCATCGATGGAAATTTCCAAGACAGGCAGGTCCTGTTCAATCCTCTTCCAGACACCTACAGACACTTTAACCACCAAAGGAAACCTACTGCAGCAATGCAGAAAGCCACTCTGGGCCATACATGAGGGGGTCTCTATGCAAAGCCTGATTCCCCAGCCTCACAGTTTGCTGTTGTTTGCAAACTCTGGTTGCAAGAAGACACATTTCCCCCCATCTCCTCTTCCCCTGCATGCTCTGCCAGGAGTCTTGCCTCCGTGGCCAGGCAAGAGGCAGGGCAGCTTGAACAATGCTCCTGCTAACATGCATGCCCCCTTCACCCAGTTCCGAGCTGCTAATCTGCCTATTAGGCTACAAAACCCCCATGGAGAACTGCAAAACTCTTCTCATTAATTAGCTACAATGGGAGCTTTTCGCTTGCTCCGATTCCAAATGAAGGAAAAAAGCCCTCCAGGATTGTCTCCGGCTCGAAGTATGGCTGGGGCAGTTCTCAAGGCTAAGTTCACAAATTAATTATGGCAATAAAATGGTCTATGCCATAAAACACCCCTGAGACAAGGATGAACGTAGCAGGTGTGAATGACATCATACACTTAACAAGGGGAAGAACCAACCCTCTTGCCCTTACAAGCCGCATGATGAATTGAAGACTGTTCACCCCTTGCATGTCCTCTTGCTCTCTGATACAAAGCTCATACCAGTTATACCTTAACAGAAATAGGCCGTATTAAGAACAATAAAAGAGAAATCTAAATGAAACCGGGTGAAGATTTTCACTGTAGACTATTAATTACACTTCCATTTCTCAGAGTGCTACAGGATTAGCTGCGTAAGTCAGCAGAGTTAGTAAAGCCAAGTAGGGGTAACACAGCTCTGCTCAGCATCAGACACCCTCTAATTGCCAAACTATCCTCTGGGATAGCACAGCAAACCAATTAAAAGCAGCAAAATTAGAGTGGGTATTGTGACTCATTAACTAATACTGATAGCAGCCACACCAGGATGGAAGGGGATCCCTGTGCAAAGGCAAGATCAGCAAAGCAGCAGCCGTGGGATGCAGCGAGCATTGGCAGCCCGACGGGCTTGCTGGGACAAGCAGCTGACCCAGAAGCCAGCTGGGTGCCATCCACTTTAAACTGAATTTCCCTCCACCTGTAAAACAATCACTGGCGTAGCCAGCTCCTACTAACATGGTTCCAGCTTGAGTTGCTGTGCTTCCAGGCACAGAGACTCAATCAGCTCTATGGCCTAAATACCCTCTGCCAACCCGGCTGGCCCCAGCAGAGAAGGCTGAATTTGCAGAAGAGTTGGCACAGTTTGGTGGAGATGCTCAGCCCTGCGGCGGTGGGACCAGGCTCTGTGGGAGAAGCCGCTCTCTGACTTGGCATGGGCAGCAGCATGCGTTTGGGCAGTCAATCTTTTTGGAACAGGCAAAATTACGGACCTGAGGTCCCATTTCCAAGCTCTTTTTGGGACCACCCCACCAAAAAAAACATCAGGTGGATCCTGGAACCTGAGCAGACGCGCTGAGGCTGCGCACTGGGTGGATGCAGGGCCCTTTCTGCTGGCCCAGTCTGCAGCGCCAGAGCTTTGCAGCAGGTTGGCTGCACAGACACGTGTGGCACTGCGGGATGCTTAAAAGCTACTGCATCTTGAGGTGGCACACTGGGATGCTTCAGGTTAGCTGCACAGGAGTTTTTCAGCAGGCAGCCCTGAAGAGGAATAAAATATTTCAGTGGGGAGATAGTTCTGTAGTTCCCTGGGACCAGTCAGGAATTTGCACCACAGAAATACTTCCACATCAGGGAAAGAGCTCTTTGCTAAGTAAAAGCTTTGGCTCTCCAAGAGATTTAAACACACAGATGATGCACATCCATCTATCTCCCTTCCTTGCAAACATACACCTCACTGTTCTCCTGCAGTGCAGTATTTTGCAGATCTGGACTCGGACCTGTTTGAAACAACACCTCTTCTCCAGAAAAGAAGTCACCTGGGAATCTATATTCAGAAAACAAAAAGTATCTTTCACTGGTGAGGTCCAGGGCAGGACAAGCATTCTGCTTTCTCTGTATCACTCTGTTCATCAGAATGCACTTTTTTTATGGCTTTCTACTATTCCCCTACCTACACTCCACACTTCCTTCTGCCCTTGATGCCTTCATAATAACTGTAATGAATCCTGCCTTCAAAATTACTGTGCCTCTGATTGCCAGTCTGAGCAGCGAGCCTGAAAATCAAGACTCAAAATGCAATGGAAACTTTGGAACTTCCCCACTGCTGATTGGATTTTTTTTTCCCTCTCCTCCAGGCTATGAGGGTACAAACAAATTTATTAGAAATTCTCCCATCAGGATATTTTTTCAATTAGACATTTGCCACTTATACACCAGCCAAGTAGAGCAGATAAGTAATGTGCTCTCCTTCTTCTCATTATTGTTTTGCTACAGAATGCACTTCAAAACAATCAGCCCCATCATTCCAGGTAGATTTACGGCAGAAACAGACATTTTAATATTTCCCTTTTGTTACAAATGCTTCCTCCCTTTTCACTTTGGTCTAACTCTCGGTGCATTTCAGGCCTCCCAGGCAGTTCCAGACCTGGGTTCACCCATTCATCACCCTCTGTGGCCCCCCAAATTGATCAAACCTGTATTAAATGATGTGCACACGCAGAGTGGTGGGTATCGTTTTTGAGTCCTAATTTGAAAGGAACATACTCTTGTGCAGTTGTCTTAATCATCCTTTTGCTCTTTTGTAATTATTTAATTTTTGTTATTATTTGGCTAACAGAAACAGCCTATTAAACAAATCAGTGGCTGTCGCTAATTCTCACCCTCTGCTGCATGAAATGAGTATGAAGCCAAAGTGAGCCGAAATCACTCTCAGCTTGCAGTGCTTTGCATCCTCAACATGGGGTTTGCTTGAGAACCTGGGAAATGCAAACCCCATGTAGCCAAGTTGTGAAGCAGGAAGATGCGTTTAATTGCTTTTCCTTCATCTCAGACTTGGACCCATTTTTATCAAACTTGCACTGACTTGCATAGCGATGGTTGCCTACAAGCACAACCAAAATCAAGGGCCTCTACTCCAGTAAGGACCCAATAAAGCCCCACTTTGCCAAATCCCTACTCAAACTTGTCTCACGTAACACACTCAGGACAGAAACAACTCTACTCACCAGATTAAAAAAAAAAACAAAACAAAACTAACCCTTAGAGGAAACTGCCCAAATTCCTGCCAACTCTGGCAACAAAGGCATGCTGCCAAATGAACGCCAGCAAGCTGCCTTCATCTGCGGGTGACATGAACTCCATCCCAAAGGAAGGGGAGCGCAGCCGTGACCCAATCTCATGCCACAGGAGGTGGCTTTGCCTGTCACCGGTGGATGAGCACACGGCCCTGTCCACCCCATTCAGCCAGGAAATCCCAAGGAAATCAGGGTGGCGGACACAGAGCCGTGCCTCCACTGGAGCGCCTCTCCACGGTACACGCTTCCCCGGATTTGGGGTCCAAGCAAGAGGGACAAGGACAGTTCCGTCCTGTGAGAAAACACCCTCTGAAATTTAGTTTTTCATGGAGAATTTACTTAAAAATACAATTATTTTACTGCAGCTCTTCCAGAGGAGCTGTAGCTGGCACTGCGATTCCAGAGGCAGAGCACTGCTGTGCACCCACCAGCCCATACAGGGAGCTGAGCGCAGGCTTGATTCAGATGATGTTCAATGAAGCACTTTTTAAATTTTTATTGCTTTTCTAGACACACTTTGGCTTGTTATTTTTGCAATACAACGTTATTTTCAAACCTGTAAATGTGCCCAAAGGTCACCCAGGTCCCATGCTAGTAAGACAAAAATGAGTAAGAAAAATAAATGCATGCTGCAAGCTGGGACAGAGCCCAGAGCAAAGTAGCTGTGTGATCTCCAGCTCTGTGCAAACATGGAGAATAAATGTTTGTCAACTGGGAAGGACCCAGTGGAAAGAAACACAACCTCCTGCCAAGATTCAGAGAAGGCGTTACTTTCTCATGGATGGCACTGCCAGCTTGTACAATGTTATTATGAATCTCATCACATCCTTTTATTTCCTGAGAGTCATGAGTTGAGACAAAAACCTCAACTCTGTAAGAAATATGTTGGCAGCACTCACATGAGGAATGACTTCAATGACACCTGAAAGATCTCAAAAATCTTCCAAACTTTTTATTTCATTGTATTTTAAATGTTGGAGAGTTTTGTGTTTTTTGGTGGTGGTTTTCTTTTTTTTTTTTTTGAGAGGTCTTACCTAAATTTTAACACTCACTGTTGGCAAGAGTAGACCAGAGCACCTTAACTGCAAGTCCACTGAGGATCTGGAGCTTTTAAAAAGTAGCCTGTTAATGTAAATCCAGCAGTCACTAAAAGCCATCATCATCATCATCATCAAGGAGTTATTAAAGGCCCAGTGAAGAACAAATCACATGCTTCCAGTGATCCCTAGTGCCCAGAGCTATAAGCACTTGCCTCTCAGTTTTGCTTCCTTGTGTCAGGACACATGAGATGGGCATCAGATCCCCTCTCACGACAACCTAATTTCCAAACTGGGTGCACCGGGCATATCCCCTTTCACTGGAGATGCTTGGGATGCAGCTTGTTTCATTGT